AGAAAATTATTGGAACGAAAAATATATATACCTCTAAATCCATGAGAGTAAGATTTTGGTAATGACTATTGGAATTTTGAGCAGTCTTTGGGGATTATTTTCATACCACGATAACTTTTGCTGACCAATTAGTTTTCGAAGCTGAAATATGTGGTATGAATTGATGAGGTGCAACCATTTTTTATCCGTAGATATATAGCTATAAATGTAAGATAGTAGTTAATATGGAGGGAAAAGAAGAGGGTTGTGTGAATACAAGTTAGAATGTGTCACAATATGGAAACTGTAAATGGTAATGATAATCTCTTTGTTTTCGTAGATGTGAAGTTAAAGCATTGTATTAGCCTATTTATAAAATTTCAAATCGAGATGTAATGGTTTAATAAATATTTTAATTTTGAAGTCATGATGTTGGAAGGATGAGGTAAAAGTATTAATGTGTCCATGTCTCAGTTTCATCAGTTATAAAAAAAGAATGTATAGATGGCATAAAGACTCAATACAAATTGAATAGTTTTTTTTTATGTTTAAAACTAATAAAATTATTTACGTAGTAAAATCTTATCAATAGCCATACCTTATTGTCTAAATAGACATACCTTACTGTTTAATCACTGGCATAAGAAATGGAAATTACTGTAAATTTTATTTATAGTACAAGAATGGCTGCAATAGAATTGAGGAGTATTTTCTTAGTTCTTATTACTTTGTTACATCTATTATATAAAATTAATAAACGCAAAACTTTGGAATGGGCATAAGATATGGGAACTACTTAAAATAGTATGTAAATGGTGTCCATGGAATAATTGAGTTAGTAAAACACTTTGTAAATTATCGAATATATATTGGGAAGTAAAGTTTTACTATAGTAGAAGAATAGCTTATAATCCAGTATAAATTACATCGAAAAAAATTACATTTTAAGGCAAAAAAAAAAAGCTACAAATTATTTCATTTGATTTAAATAATATGTAAATATATAAATATAGACATGTATAATAAATAATAAAACAAGTAAAATAAAGTATAAATTATTTATCTAGAAAGCCTATTACTACCACACATATATATTTATTTTTATTTCAATCTTTTTTATTTCATTCTTATCCTTATCTCTTTCTCTATCTCAAAACCTAGATCCCAAACCTTTCATCTCAAAACCTAGATCCAAATTATTGGATTGTGGAATTCCAATCCCTCCTTTCATGGAGGTTTCTTCTTCTCCAATCATGGAGTGTCCCTTTCTTCTCAATTAATGAATTCTAACATGGTATCAGAGCAGAGTTCTTCCTGCTGCTGTTTGTCTCTAAGATTTTCATCTTCTCTTTCTGTGTTCTGCAAAAATGAAAGCAAATCTCTAATTTCCTTTATTTTAGCATAATTCTGGAAAATGTTAATCCAGCAAAATGTTCAGTTCCTGTCTTCAGAAAATGGCGGCAGCAACATCATAATCCTTCCTTGATTCTCTGCAATAAAATTTATCCTCTTTCAGATTTTGGTTCTCTGAACTTTCAGAGATCTTTATGGATGGTCAGAGCCTCCACTATTTCTTGTTTCTCTATCAGATCTGGTGACATATGGCTGGAATTAAGAACTGAAGGCATCATCTCCAAGTGAAGCAGAGCCAAAATTCTTTAATCTTCAAGATGGACTATTGTTGATCTCCATAGTCCATCTTGAGGGGGTGTGTTAGAAATATGTTCTAGCAAATTCAGAATATTCCAGCTATATTTGTTAGGTTGTCAATTAGTTAGTGATTGTTAATTAGTTAGTGATTAGCCTACTAATCAGCAAATTAGTCAGTTAATTGCTCTTCTTTATCTCTATAAATTGAGTCATTGTATTCATTAATAAAATATTGGATTGTGGAATTCCAATTCCTCCTTTCATGGAGGTTTCTTCTTCTCCAATCATGAAGTGTCCCTTTCTTCTCAATTAATGAATTCTAACACGGATAATTGCCACCTTTCTTGCAATATTTCAAATTGCATACATATCACTATTTTGGTTGACAGTCAATCATTGTAGACTCTCTAAATCTTTGATTTTCATTATTTTGAAAAATTGGAGTTTCGAAGTAATTATTTTGAGAACGTATTGATAAGAATTGGCTGAATGATTTCCCGTTTTAGGATTTCTTCCATTTATATATAGATAATTACACATGTTAGGGTCCTAAATATGGTAAACTATAATTACAATAATTTACAATCAATTGTCTATGTAATTATTGTAGAATAATATTCGGTCGGAATCTTTTGTAATCTCGTCGATATTTTCATCAAATTCGTTGACATCCCTTCAAATTGATGCTGGTTGACCAAAAAGCATCAATTTGCTAATAAGAAACTAATGTCGGTGTCGCGTCATCACTTTAGTAAACACATCAGTGATGTGAACATCCGTGGTGACATGTGGAAGAGAAATAATGCGATCATCATAAGCCTCACGAATAAAGTGACAATCCACTTCAATATGTTTAGTGCGCTCATGGAAAACAGGATTAGCAGCAATTTGTATTGCACTAGAATTGTCAACATGAAGTGGAGTAGGCTCAAGCTGAGAACAACTAAGCTCCGCTAAAAGACCCCAAAGCCAAATAATCTCAGAACAGGCAGAAGACATAGCGCGATACTCAGATTCAGTAGAGGATTTAGAGACACGATCTTGTTTCTTACTACGCCAAGAAATAAGTGCATTCCCTAGAAACATACACCAACCTGTAATCAAGCAACGAGTATCCATACATCTAGCCCAATCAGCATCATTATACCCTACCAATCCAAAAGAAGAGTTGGCAAGAAGGAAAAGACCCCCATCATGTGTACCTAGCAAGTAACGAATGATGCGACGAACAGCAACCAAGTGGAGATATCATGGAGCGTGCATAAATTGACACACTTCTTGTACGGCAAAAGAAATGTCCGGTTGAGTAATAGTGAGATAATTCAAACTATCCACTAACTAACGATATAGGGAGGGATCGTGAAGAAGATCGCCCTCCGCCTTGCTATATTTCACATTCACCTCTAAAGGAGTATCAACCGAGTGACCATCTTGAAGTCCTACCAAGGCGATCAACTCCTTCGTATACTTGTGCTGATGCAAATACTCGTTGGACTGGAAAGTACCTCAAGACCTAAGAAATACTGCAAAGGCATGGAATAATTGAGTTAGTAAAACACTTTGTAAATTATCGAATATATATTGGGAAGTAAAGTTTTACTATAGTAGAAGAATAGCTTATAATCCAGTATAAATTACATCGAAAAAAATTACATTTTAAGGCAAAAAAAAAAAGCTACAAATTATTTCATTTGATTTAAATAATATGTAAATATATAAATATAGACATGTATAATAAATAATAAAACAAGTAAAATAAAGTATAAATTATTTATCTAGAAAGCCTATTACTACCACACATATATATTTATTTTTATTTCAATCTTTTTTATTTCATTCTTATCCTTATCTCTTTCTCTATCTCAAAACCTAGATCCCAAACCTTTCATCTCAAAACCTAGATCCAAATTATTGGATTGTGGAATTCCAATCCCTCCTTTCATGGAGGTTTCTTCTTCTCCAATCATGGAGTGTCCCTTTCTTCTCAATTAATGAATTCTAACATGGTATCAGAGCAGAGTTCTTCCTGCTGCTGTTTGTCTCTAAGATTTTCATCTTCTCTTTCTGTGTTCTGCAAAAATGAAAGCAAATCTCTAATTTCCTTTATTTTAGCATAATTCTGGAAAATGTTAATCCAGCAAAATGTTCAGTTCCTGTCTTCAGAAAATGGCGGCAGCAACATCATAATCCTTCCTTGATTCTCTGCAATAAAATTTATCCTCTTTCAGATTTTGGTTCTCTGAACTTTCAGAGATCTTTATGGATGGTCAGAGCCTCCACTATTTCTTGTTTCTCTATCAGATCTGGTGACATATGGCTGGAATTAAGAACTGAAGGCATCATCTCCAAGTGAAGCAGAGCCAAAATTCTTTAATCTTCAAGATGGACTATTGTTGATCTCCATAGTCCATCTTGAGGGGGTGTGTTAGAAATATGTTCTAGCAAATTCAGAATATTCCAGCTATATTTGTTAGGTTGTCAATTAGTTAGTGATTGTTAATTAGTTAGTGATTAGCCTACTAATCAGCAAATTAGTCAGTTAATTGCTCTTCTTTATCTCTATAAATTGAGTCATTGTATTCATTAATAAAATATTGGATTGTGGAATTCCAATTCCTCCTTTCATGGAGGTTTCTTCTTCTCCAATCATGAAGTGTCCCTTTCTTCTCAATTAATGAATTCTAACACGGATAATTGCCACCTTTCTTGCAATATTTCAAATTGCATACATATCACTATTTTGGTTGACAGTCAATCATTGTAGACTCTCTAAATCTTTGATTTTCATTATTTTGAAAAATTGGAGTTTCGAAGTAATTATTTTGAGAACGTATTGATAAGAATTGGCTGAATGATTTCCCGTTTTAGGATTTCTTCCATTTATATATAGATAATTACACATGTTAGGGTCCTAAATATGGTAAACTATAATTACAATAATTTACAATCAATTGTCTATGTAATTATTGTAGAATAATATTCGGTCGGAATCTTTTGTAATCTCGTCGATATTTTCATCAAATTCGTTGACATCCCTTCAAATTGATGCTGGTTGACCAAAAAGCATCAATTTGCTAATAAGAAACTAATGTCGGTGTCGCGTCATCACTTTAGTAAACACATCAGTGATGTGAACATCCGTGGTGACATGTGGAAGAGAAATAATGCGATCATCATAAGCCTCACGAATAAAGTGACAATCCACTTCAATATGTTTAGTGCGCTCATGGAAAACAGGATTAGCAGCAATTTGTATTGCACTAGAATTGTCAACATGAAGTGGAGTAGGCTCAAGCTGAGAACAACTAAGCTCCGCTAAAAGACCCCAAAGCCTAATAATCTCAGAACAGGCAGAAGACATAGCGCGATACTCAGATTCAGTAGAGGATTTAGAGACACGATCTTGTTTCTTACTACGCCAAGAAATAAGTGCATTCCCTAGAAACATACACCAACCTGTAATCAAGCAACGAGTATCCATACATCTAGCCCAATCAGCATCATTATACCCTACCAATCCAAAAGAAGAGTTGGCAAGAAGGAAAAGACCCCCATCATGTGTACCTAGCAAGTAACGAATGATGCGACGAACAGCAACCAAGTGGAGATATCATGGAGCATGCATAAATTGACACACTTCTTGTACGGCAAAAGAAATGTCAGGTTGAGTAATAGTGAGATAATTCAAACTATCCACTAACTAACGATATAGGGAGGGATCGTGAAGAAGATCGCCCTCCGCCTTGCTATATTTCACATTCACCTCTAAAGGAGTATCAACCGAGTGACCATCTTGAAGTCCTACCAAGGCGATCAACTCCTTCGTATACTTGTGCTGATGCAAATACTCGTTGGACTGGAAAGTACCTCAAGACCTAAGAAATACTGCAAAGGCCCCAAATCCTTCATATGGAAAGACTCTTTCAGTTGGTTTTAAATATGAGATATTAGTGTGGAGTTAGTCCCGATAATAACAATATTATCCACATAGACCAAAAGAAGTACTGTACCCGTCTTAGAATTTGAGATGAAGAGAGACGAATCATATTTACTCTGGATAAATGATAAACTCAAGAAAGTAGAGCGAAACTTATCAAACCAAGCACGAAGAGCCTTCTTCAACCCATAAAGTGAGCGGTTTAGCTTACACACATCTGAAGATGGTGATGAGAAGAGGCCTACAGGAGGGGTCATATAAATTTCTTCTTTAAGATCATCATGTATGAAAGCATTCTTGACATCCATTTGCTGCAAAGACCATCCCTTGGAGGCAGCTGCAGCTAGGACAGTTCGAATCGTAGTCATTTTAGCAATAGGAGCAAATGTCTTTTCATAATCTACGCCATATTCTTGACGATTCCCAAGAGCCACCAATNACACTTTATTATGTGAATACAATTAAAAATGAATATGAAAATAAAGAATATTATTTTAAAGGGAGACAAATATGGACTAAAAATAAAAAATAAAAAATAAATTTTTTTTGTCAATATTCTAAATAAAAGATTAAAAATAAATTTTTTTTATTAACACCTTTATAGCCTACCATACCGAGGAATGAATTAACACTACATATCAATTACATGAAAATTTCATTGATATGACTACTAATTAAATATTTTTTATTAAATTTTACATGATAGAGTAGTGATATTTGAAATTAAATTTTATTGATTAGCTATTTAAAAAGTCATTGAAGTTCAATTACTCATTTAAGAGAAATTTGTATTTATTGACCCCATACAAATTCCATATAAAGTTCAGTAAGTGCATATGAATTGGCTTATATATTACGTCACTTAAAATAGTTCCAAAAATTTCATATATTTAATATATAATTCATTAATAAATTCTAAAACAATATCATAATTTTATTCAAATTACTGGATAAACTACAGTAGAGGAGATACAAGTCAATTTCCCATCCATTTCAATGTCTTGATGAGTCCGGTTCATTTCCAGACAGTCAATGACACAATTTGCAACAAATAACCGAAAAGACTAACATTTGAAAGAAAAAGACAAAAGAAAAAAAGCTGCCTACACCATAAGCAAGCAAAGCAAAGAGCTTCACTCTCCGGAAGCATCATAAACCAGACAACACGATAGTCGATCAACTTGTCGAAACTTAATTTTTCACGTGCATCGCTGCTGCTTTCAAGAACTCTACACCTCTTGACCCAATGGGCGTGTCGATCATTTATAGAAGTCCTAAATCAATGCTTTTGCTTCTGAGAAACGAAACGAATTCTTTGTTTCCCGAGTTCAAAGTTTTGGGCTTTTCCATGATCAAGAACAATGGAAACAATGGATGTGCCTTCAAAGACTTCTACTACTGTCCCCCTATTCCTGAGAGAAATTAAGCAATAAGACTTCAGTACCCACACGCCAATATATCTTTGTAGAACAATGCTACTTATTGTTTGACAGATGCTAAGGTGGCATGCATTTGGCCCTTGATTTGAATTCTGTCGACACATGTGTAAAAACATTTCTGTACAAGTAGCTTAATTAATCTTTGAAACTATGGAGGCTTTACTAAAGAAATGACACACCAAAATACCGGCAATTGTCAAAGCATGCAATCAAATGCGAAGGACAGAATGACTAATGCTATGCTTCGAAAAATGAATTGGGACCTTCGGATCTAGCTTCATGTAAAATCAATTTCAAGTTAGAAATTATTTTATATTCTAACTCCTTGCTTGCAAACTCAAATTTTTTTAATTATTATACATAGGGGGAACTCACCAGGAGTCGTTGGATGGCTGATGAATTTCCACTCTCTTCCCAGCAGCATCTTTTCCCAATTTCTGCAATATCCAGTTAGCATCCAAGAATTCATTAACTGGGTCATCGTCTCCCGTAATTGGTGTTTTATCCTCGAACATTGCTGGTCTCCTCCTTTTCGACCTTTGGCCCTTGACATAAGTTATCTCATCCTTTCCATGAACAGCCAAGGAATCTTGGTTTCCATTATTTGAGTTATTGGAAATTTTAATTTTCATACGAGATTTGAGATCCTTAGGTGCAGACTGAGAGAATGATGGAATGTTACTATCATCATCAATCAAATTACCAGAAACAGTTTGGCCATCCCCAGAATACTTCAATGAAGAGTATTTGTTTCTCTTACTGGCTGGGACTTCAGATCCACTCACTGCAGATGCTCTATCCTCGTTGCTTCTTTTTCCTAGTAAAGCACGTGTATCCAGCGGTGGAGATGATTCAGAACTAGTATTCTTGATCTTTATTAAGTGGCCCCCCTTTTCTCTTAATTTGGAATCTTTCATTTGATCTGCACAATCTATTTAATGTCAACCGAACAAGGAGAAACGTCACATATAAGATAAAAATGAGGATTTATAGTAAAGCTAGATAACAGAGGATAACAAGGTTCAAATTCAGCATGGTATATTTTTTATCCCCAAATTTAGTTGTTGCGCCTATTGACCCATAACAAAGCAAGAACTTATAATTATAAATTTTCATAGTGATGTATTACTTGTACAGCATACTGACATATTTTGTCTATGTGCGTGAAGAACAATCATTTCCATGTGGTAACCCTATTACTTCAACATAAATGACAAATTTAGAAAAAGTTCAACATAATCACATTCGTGACATCTCGTCAAATATTTTACAATTAAGCTATGATTTTTGAACTAGTTAAACATCCTCTTTAGACTGGACATCCATCAACTTAAGAAACAACTACCACCATTCCTGCTTCATACATACAGATATAGCACCTAATTATCTCTACTCTTCAGTAGCATCTTGGCCACTAATGCAAGAATGTTCTTTCTTCAAGCAAAGTACAGCATAAATCTACCATAGAACGCACTAGTTTAATCCCCAACCCCCACCCATCTCTCACCGAGTTGCATGTCTGAACATATACGATGTGGCAATTAACAACTAGCCACTAAAGTGCATATTCCGAAGGCTTGTAGATCTATAGCATCTCCACAATGACAGCAAGAGTGAAGCCTTCAAGTTGATGAGAAATCATGAGCACTGCCTAAAGGGGAAGCTTTTCGTTGTAGAATAATTAAAAAATAAAAATAAAAAAAATCCAAAGTTCATTTCAAGTTAACCACACAGGAAAAGTTTCATTCTTTAGATCTATTTCTCTAACATGCCATGGCCATCCCCCCCC